AAGCTTGTTTACAAAGGAAATAATAAGTCTGTGATGTGCAAGAATGCAGATCTTTTCAAGCTTGTAAATTATTTATTCTATTACAGAATTCTTGATTATAAAACAAGTTATTTCTCTGTGCAACCTAAGTTTACACTGTAATACTCTATATCTTTTCAGAGATAGAAATATCTGAATAATTTTATGTCTTTACCAACTGTCTTAGACATTGTACAGGTTCAAGGATTTTTTTTAATACATTTTTTATAAATCTGTAATTAGTTTAAAAATACAGCCTGGACTGCTGAAAGATGCGTTCGCAACAGGACCATCTCTGGATGCATATCCTTCAGTATGTGCACTGAGAAAGACATTTGCACTAATTTGTGCTGTGCACAAGTTCTTCTAAAATGTAGATACACCACAAAGACGTTCTTACAGTTAGAAGTAAAATGACTGAAAATTAGAAGCCTGTATGAGAACAAGACTTGAGGTGAGACTGATGTAAATATAGAGTGGCAGAACAAACAGAACAGAAATAATCTGATAATGCACAAGACTCCTTAAGGATAGGAGCAGATCTGCAAGAGAAAATTAAGAAAATGATGTAAGATGATATATTATAAATAGTCTGTTGCTGGAATGTACAAGTCCTGAAAGTCACTTAAGTGACCGTGTTTTTTGCCATATGTTCAACAGCTCTCCTTTGAGATATATCTATTGTGTCTAACAAAATAAAATATCTTGAACTTTTTCTTTGTTGTATGGCTCAAAATACTAAATACAGAAGGCTTGTATAATCATGGGATCAATAGATCTCTTTGTACAGATTGTTTCTTTAGATACTGTGTGAAGGGTGGAAATCAGTTTTAATCACTTGACTAATCTCTGCTTATTGAATGGGAGAACAGTTCTTGTCTTTTTCTTCTGATTGAATTGTCTACGCTTTAATGGTCTAGACATAGGCATGTACTACACAAAATGGTGCGACTTCAGTTTTTGCTTAGATAAATGTAATTTCAAGGAGTTTGCATGCTTTGAGGCTGAATTCATGACAGATGAGGGAGGCTTCATGCTCTGACTTCTCGTTCCCTGTGCAAATGCATGCATGCACATATGTGTGCACGTGCATGCATGATTATAAGCTGCCTGTATGCTTTCCTTCACCACTGTCTCTTTCCCCCACCTAAATCCTCCTGAATGCTTCAGTCGCTGCATGTTCTCTGTTTCCATCTCTCCCCTATACAAAGGTCCCTGGTGTGGAGGTTCCTTGGTCCTTATGCTATCCTTTTTTCTGTGCTGTGCAATTCCTTATCCTTTTTCTATTTTTTGTGCTATTCCACATGCTTTTTCCCCTTATGCTGAGGCTGTGCATGCTTCTCTTCCCGCTCAGACTTCTTCCCCTGCTACGAAAGAAGTCCCAGTGCTTTTTGAATGGTGGGGAGGAGGGCAGGAGCAAAGTGGAGTTACAAGTACTGCATTGGAACAGGGTAACTTGGGCACCAGCTTCCTTCACAGACAGCTATGTGCAGAGTTAGTGGGACTGATTCTTTCTTCAGTAGATCAAGAAGAGGAAGGGGGTGAGAGAGACTTTGTTTGCACTGTTTCTTTGTTTACTGCAAGTGCTATAGTAATGCACTTTGCCAAACTTTCAAATCCTGAGGTAAAAGCAGCGTTTTATAAAACCTAATGATACTTATTCAGTGGGAAATGTACTTATTCTGATGTTTACTTTGTCACTTTAATATATTTTTTCCTGCTAATTACGTTTCATTCAGTTTTGGCTTCTATGAAAGAAAAACTAGAGATTTAGCATCTTTAACACTGTGTAGGCCTGATCCTGTGTGTGCCATCACAACTGGAGCACGACTGTACAAACCATGGTATATAGTTTCTGCTTTCGTTTTCACTTCGTTTTTTACATACAACTGAATTGTGGTGACAAGGTGGACCTAGGCTCTCTTCTGCCATCAGGTGGTCTGCTGTTTATTGTTAGCAGTTTTGGCTTGAAAATGGTACCATTAATGTAGTTCCACTGGAAAAGCTAGTATTAGATACGAGGGTGACGTTTAAAAACTGGAGCAAATGCAGATGATTCTGGTTAAAATATGAGCGGGTGGTAGGAAGTTACCTTTGGTAACCCTGTCCCTGCAGATATTTTAGAGCTCGTTGACCAAGTTTTCTCATTTTCCCAAAAGAAATAGGAAACATGCCTTCACTTCTACACACAGATACTCAGTCATTCAAGGCTTTTTGTTTGCTCTAGCAATAGTAACTCAGTCCTTGTTTGACAGATTTTATATCTGTTTTTGTGTGGTTTGCTAAGTTACTGCAGGCTCTGGGAAGGCTGTGCCAGAGGATTTTTTCTGTTGATGGGTGAACAGTTACTCTCTCAGGCTTGAGGTTGAAGGACAGTAGTTAGCTGCTTTTAAATATATGAAAAGGCAGTTTGTCTTCGAAGAAGTCTACCTTCAAGACAGAGCTTCAGTTCAGTTTAGGAATATATCCTCATATGTCTCATTCCATGAAATGAATGCACGGTGGTGGCCCAGGGCTAAAGCAACATTAAAGCCTTATTTGAGCTATCCATATTTTTTACTAAATTTATTTGAAAATGTTAGTAGCAGCCAACGCTGGTAAGGTATTTGTCAAACTTTTAAGATAAAAATCTGAAATTTGATGGTGCCTTATGCAATAGGAGCTTAAGAAGAGTGTTTTTCAGGCATTTTGGAGTACAGGTAGTTTCTACCCGAAATCTAGTTTGTTGCTCATCTTCTGGAAAAACTACCAAAAAGAAACGGTGTAAGTATTTCTTAGCTGGCTGTATGTATTTATACAGTTGGGCTCTTGAGAAGGGACTTGCTCTTGAGCAATACTGTGCTGCTGAACGCTGGCATGCTGTTAGCATTTAGCAATGATGCAGAAACATCCAGTGCCATGCTCCTGAAGTTCACTAGCATGCGTGGGGAAAAAGAACGGTCGCTTTCAATAGGTGAGAGAGCTTTTTTATCTCCTTGTTTTTAGCAACAAATGCGAGACCTGCAGTTTATTGGCGTTCAGAGAGCCAGCCTTACTTGCTATTCCTTGAGTTTGTCTTTCACGACAAGATTTTCTCCCAAGATGTCTTTTCTGCTCCCGGCTACACAGTCAGTGTCTTACATGGATTTTAAAAGCAGCAGATTTACAAGTTTTGTTTGCTTTTCAAAATTTTCAGTAACCATTCCCAGCCCAACTTCCCTGTTTAGTGGGAACACAAAAATGAGGGATGCTGAGTAAACCAAAAAAACTGGCTAAGTGTTGAGGCTGTGGATCCTTTTGCAGAAGAGCTTCATGCTTCTAACTGTAAAGATGCGGTTCTTTCTGCTTGTTTCTCTTTTGCTGTTATAATTAGGTACATGTGCACAAGCACCAGGTCTTTGCTCCATACAAATTAATTTTCTTCCTGCTGCTTGCTACCTCCATGATAGCAGTTTCAGCCTTCCGTCTGAAAGCTCAGTCAGTTGCTGTGAAGATGATCGGGATGTTAGCTGCAGAAGATGAATAAAAATATGAAGTGAAAAATCAGCAAGAGCTGATATAAGCAAGAGCTTGGGTAATAAGAGAGCCCATTCTAAAACACAGAGACTTCATTTAAAAAAAAAAAAAAAAAAGCAGGCTTATCTCCAAACAGGTATTACAAAGAATGCAAGAGCTGAATTGTATGAATTCTTACTGTGCTGTAGTAGTTGACAAATTTAGTTTCAATTAGCTTTTAATAATACTTGGTAATATAAATGCCTTGCAAGAAAAATAAATAGCTGGATTCGGACATTATAAAATCTCTGCCCAGCTCCGTTCCACAGAGGTGGTTAACCTTCCTGAGAGAAGGGAGCTATTGTTTTACCTCCCGTTCACTCAAGTGGTGCTGGAATTAGTGAAGGAGGGTTTGTGTGCCTGAAAGCTGGTCCGCTTTTTTCAACTGTATCAGTTAGTCTAATAAAAACATACCACCTCTCCCTCCAGACCTTGTCTCACTGAAGTTACTGTCTATATTTTGGTTTGACTTCCTTCAGTGGTTGAAAGGTCTAATGCACGGTTTTAAAGTAAAGCATATTCCATCACCTTGCACAACTGCACTGTCCAGTCAGCCCTGCTCTAGGGCATCCAACCCAAGCCCAGAGGGTCATAGTTACAATCTGTGGTTCAGCAACAACTAATGCAAGGGGAAATGCAATCCTTCTTTGTTTCTAGTTGCAAAGCAACTATTGCTCTCATAACTTAGTCTTTGGCACTTGCCTTCACTAGGTGCATAAGAAGGCTCCCTTTTCTGTTTCAGTCTGCCCCTTCTGTATAAAGAATAATTATACCATAATTTAGGGAATTGTGGAATTGAGACAGAAATTGTATCTGCAGCTCGGATGCTGCCCCATCCCCCTTTTTTTTTTTCCCCCTGCTTAGGTCCTAGGTTCTCTTAACTGCCCTCCTATCCAGGAAAAAAAGGTAAGTGCTTAAAATATAGGGGGAGCCAGGTTAACCTGAATTAAGAGGTAATTTGCCAGCTCGGGAGTTGCGTGTGCCTTCCCTGCTGTAGTGGCTCAGTAATAGACGCAATATGCTGTTTTTATACAGAAAGGGAGGAACGGACAGATTAAACACAGTGCAATGAAAGTAAATTGTGTATTTAGAAGTGAGTAGTGGGGTGGATCAAAGGTTGCTTGAGAATTAGCATTGCAAAGATACATTCTCATTTGTTAGTACCTTCATTGGAATGTGAATATAAGTCTTTCATTTGAAGCCATATGACTGTATTTAACAAGCTCCCTAAAAGTCCTAGCACAGCCGTCTGGGTAACTAGCACATGCAGGATGCACTAGCAATGTGTCATAAATGACCGGAATTATTTTTAGAACTGTAGTGGCTCTGTCACATCCAGGAAGTGCAGGGAGGAGGTTTCTGGTTGAAGCCCAGTGTAAGAATGTAATTTTTAATG